CTTTATAAGCCTTGCCCCACCCTGCAGAGCTCAGCCCTCCTCCTTTATTTGTCCTTTTTTGGGGCTGAAAAAAGAAGATTTTAGAAGAAAGAAAACATCAAATGGTAAGTTTTTTTTTTTTACAGGTACTTAGTTAATGGTCCCCCCTCATTATTTTTAGGGTGAGGGGGGTAGGTAGGGGTTAGTTTTTTTGGGAGGGGCGTGACTAGGAGTTTGGGGACCTCTAGTCACCTGGGGGGGTAAATTATTATTTAGGGCCCTCACCCGCCACTCACGGGTGGGGGCCAGGGGGAGGACATTAAGTCCCCCCCATTATTTTACTTTAGGGCCCCCACCCGCCGTCGGTTATTATGGATTTTTTATTTGGCCTTTTTTGGGGCTGAAAAAATAAGACTTTAAAAGAAAGAAAACATCAAATGGTAAGTTTTTTTTTTTTTACAGGTACTTAGTTAATGGTCCCCCCTCATTATTTTTAGGGTGAGGGGGGTAGGTAGGGGTTAGTTTTTTTGGGAGGGGGGTGACCTGGGGAGGTAAATTTTTATTTAGGGCCCCCACCCGCCGCTCACGGGTGGGGGCCAGGGGGGAGGACAATAGGTCCCCCCTTATTGTTATTTAGGGTCCGCACCCACTGCCCAGGGATGGGGGCAGGGGGGAGGACATTAGGTCCCCCCTTATTAGTATTTAGGACCCCCACCCACCGCTCAGGGTTTGGAGCCAGGGGGAGGACATTAGGTCCCCCCTATTGGTATTTAGGGCCCCACCCACCACTCAGGGGTGGAGGCCAGTGGGGAGGACATTAGGTCCCCCATAATTGGTATTGCCAGGGGGGAGGACATAAGGTCCTCCCTTATTATAATTTAGGGCCCCACCCACCGCTCAGGGGTGGGCGCAGGGGGGGGGACATTAGGTCCCCCCCATTATTTTACTTTAGGGCCCCCATCTGCCGCTCAGGGGTGGGGGCCAGGGGGGAGGACATTAGGTTCCCCCCTAATTGGTATTGCCAGGGGGGAGGACATTAGGTCCCCCCCTTATTATAATTTAGGGCCCCCACCCACCGCTCGGGGGTGGGGGCCATGGGGGAGGACAATAGGTCCTCCCCCTTATTCTGATTTAGGGCCCCCACCTGCCGCTCAGGGGTGGGGGCCGGAGGGAGGACAATAGGTCCCCCCCATTATTTTACTTTAGGTGCCCCACCCGCCGCTCAGGGGTGGGTGCCTGGGCGGAGAACAATAGGTCCCCCCCTTTTTTACTTTAGGGCCCCCACCCGCCGCTCAGGGGTGAGGGCCGGGGGGTGGCAATAGGTCGCGGGTGGGTGTTCAGGAGGGGGGACACTTTTTTTTTTTAACAGTTAGCAGCCACAGGCTGCTCACTGTTTAATAGACATGCCCCTACTCGCTGTATAGTGAGTAGGTGCAAAATTTACTAATACTAAGTAATTTTTATTTAGTATTAGTAAATTTGTCTGAAAGACCAATTTAGGTCTTTCAGCCTTTTGGTAGATAACTCCCTAATACCATGGGAATTAGGGAGTTATGTACTAAGCGGCTGCAGAGAAGTGCCGAAGACCCGAAATTCCGAAGTTTCGAAGTTCTGAAGTGTCGAAATGCCGAAGTTGCCGAAGTTCCGAAGTGTCGAAGTTCCGAAGTCCCGAATTGCCGAAGTCCCGAATTGCCGAAGTCCCGAATTTCGGAATGCCGAACCGAATCGAAAATTTCCCCCATGCACATGCCTACATTTGATATCGATACATTTGCTTGATCAGCACAAAACTGTCTGCAAAAAACATTGATCTTGCTGCAATGTACATTTTGGGTTTTTGCTCAAAATGTATGGTAGTATGATATTAATTAATATAATTTTCTACCCAAACGATCATTTTTTCAGAGTTCAGGGTTTTTCACTCCATCTGACTCATACAGGCTTCCTGAACAGTTCCTGTAAAGTGAGATCTAATGTTTAAACCTTTATTGGATATTCTGTTTAATTTAGAATTTTGTGTCTGCCGCACTGTTAATTTTATTAAAGACCCGGAGGCTCCTATTATGCTGCACTCTTTCTTTATTTCCCTCAGCAGCAAAGAAACATTATTGAAAAGAAAACATTCAAAACAGGTTTAAACATCCTATACGCAATGTCCGCCTAGCAACATGACCATCCAATCAGTGACATCCTTCCCATATAGTAGGCGGAGCAATGATGACCATTTCCTCTTTCTTTGCTGCTTTCCCTCAGATAAGTACAACTCTCTCAGCTACTGGCTGTGGGATTATATATTTTTTATTATATGTCTGTTATTATTGCATGCTAGTTATATTTACTGAAGGCAAATATGTCTCATACATATGTGATGATTACAGACTATTTTCTGTACCTATTAGCATATGGTGCTTTTCTTTGCTCAGCTTAATTAAGCATTTATGCTTTCTTCTCCGAGTGTATTTCTGCCTGCATTGCCCGTTACGCTGGTTACTCCCTAGGACACTACAAGTCCTAGGGAGATTCTCTTTGAGCGATCCGCCGCGGTCGCGGCTCCGGGTACTGCCTTCTTCCGCCGCGCATGCGCATCCCGTCAGGGACGCCCCCGGCGGCCATCTTGCGGCTGGATTATTGTATCCGCGCTCCGGTTTCAACCACCGAGCGCGGTCTCAGCCGCGCATCACCGCTACTGTTGCATGTAGCCGGTCATTGTACACCTCTGCCGGCTTCCTCGCGGTCACTGATCACACCGCGGGAAGCCCGTTTCCAGCCGGAATTTCGCCGGCGGCCATTTTAAACGGCGCTTTCGCGCCCTTTTACTGTGTCACGCCCACGCCGTCCCTCGAATCGGAGTTGGCGTTCAGTGTTGTGGCGGACGGTTCCCCTTTTCTCCTGCTCCCATAACTTTGGTAATTTAGTGAGTACTATTTGCTGGGTTACTCAACCCTGCCTGTTTTTCACAATAAACTTGCCTTTATCTTGCCTGATATTTTCATACATTATGCAGTCCTCTAATGAATTGCCTGGTCCCTCAGAGGCACCAGCTAACCCCCAAACTTTATTGGATATTCCCCCTGTAGCTTCTGGGGATGAGGTGGATTTCCCAGCATCAGGGGAAATCCAAGCCATCATGGATGATACTGTATCCAGATCTGTTTCCAAAGCTTTGGCATCTGCCATGGATATTATGTCCTCCTCTATTTCAAAACCATTTACCCAAGCATTACTACAGGCCCAATTAATGGTCCCTCCAAATGTGCCAGTCGCGAAACCATCTGTTTCTCACCCCCCACGCCTCGGCCGCAAAGCCTTGGCTAAAGTCAAGCACTCCTCCAAACTTGTGATGGACAGCATAACACCTGTCATAGATGGCGCGAATATCGAACCACCGTGCAAAAGAGCCTCTAGCCGGGCAAAAACGGCTAGACATTGGAAGTGGGCTAAAGCCCAGCCCGATTCGACTGAGTCAGTTCAGATGAGGAGAGTGCCCCTGCCCTAGACTCAGATCAGTCTAACGATTTGTCCGACTTAGATTCGGAATATGGAACTGTTAAGGAGTGTACTCCCTCCACTAAGATACTTTCCTCTGACATGCCCAGTTCTGACTTAACCAAAGAGGGAAAAATCCTTGACCCACAGGGTGAACCGTTGTTCGAACCCGACGACTTACGTCACCCCCGCTCTGCGGAATGGTCACCGGCTGAGCATGTGGCGCAATACGTCGCATCTCGGGTCCGTAAGCCTTTGGACAAGGCAACTCGTAACAAACTAAGGGCCGAATGCCCACATCCCACCGTACCAGACGAAGTCTGTAAAACACCCCAGGTTGACCCCAAATTTATTCAATTTTTAAGTAAAACAAGTTGGAAACCCAAGAAGGGTCTAGACTTCTCACTTTATAATTGTCAAGATAAAGTCTTGGATATTTTGGGTCCAGCGACCAAAATTTTTGAAGCCGTGGAGGAATCCTTGCGGCAAGACGAAGCCTTAGATCGCCTCACTATTAGAGGCTGGATTCAGAGAGTGATATGCCTCATAGGCAATGCCAATACGGCTCTGGCTACTGAGCGCCGTAAATCTATATTGATTAAAATCGAACCTAAACTTGTAAACATGGCAATTACTGAGCCGGGAGCCCAAGCTAAAGGGTTCCTTTTCGGGGAGTCTTTTGTCAAAGACCTGGGCTCCTATGTCCAAACATTCACGGCCTTAGACAAGGCACAATCTAATCTAAAGCGGGTGTTCCACCCAAAGGTTTTTGGTGGGGCCGGCAGAGCAAGGGGCCGTCTGTCTGGCAGAGCCAATAGAGGTTCGTGCCAGAACCAAGGTCCCTATATGGGGAGACCCCCCTTTCCTGACCAGAGGTCCGTCCCGACCTTCTACCCTCAATGAGGTAGACCCTGGGTGTCGAGAGGGGCACGAGGCACTCCTTCCGGACGACGTCCTTACGGTAAGTTACCTTTCTCAATTTTCTTCACATGTGGCAATAGGGGGCAGGCTCACGCATTTTTCCCATGTCTGGGCTCTTATTACATCAGATGCTTGGATTCTCAGGGCAGTCCAAGGATACCTAATAGACGTTGTATCTCTGCCCACTCAACTCTCCCAACCAAGGGAGCTTGTTTTTTCCCCAATAGACACGACCCTCGTTTCCGAGGAAGTTCAAGATTTGGCACTCAAAGGGGCTATTCAAGAAATCCCGATAGATACCCCGGGTTTTGTGAGCAACCTATTTATTGTCCCAAAAAAAGGGGGCGGATACCGCCCAGTTATCAACCTCAAACACTTAAACACTTATGTAACCTACCATCACTTCAAGATGGAAGGCATTCACTGCCTACGGGATTTAGTCCAGCCAGGGGACTGGATGGTCAAACTCGACCTAAGAGACGCCTACCTCACGGTACCCGTTGCGCAGGTGCACCAGAACTTCCTGCAATTCACATGGCAAGGGAGGAAATGGCGATTCCGCTGCCTTCCCTTCGGGCTCTCCTCCGCACCTTGGTGTTTCACCAAGCTCATGAAGCCCGTCATCGCTCTCTTACGCAGTCGGGGAGTTCGTCTAATCATATACTTAGACGACATCCTGCTACTATCCCAATCAGTATCATTACTTCATATTCACCTCGGTTGGACCACAACCTTGCTACAGAACTTGGGCTTCATTATAAATTGGGAAAAATCCATTCTAATCCCCACTCAACAAATAGAGTTCCTAGGACTCTTGGTGGATTCAAACACGCAAACCCTGTACTTACCAACTTCCAAAATGAGAAGTATCAAGAAAGAGATAAGACGAGTTCTTACCTCTCAACACATATCTCTCAGACATCTGGCCCGCGTGATCGGGCTCCTAGCGGCCTCCATACAGGCCATTTTTCCGGGTCCCCTTCATTACAGAGCCCTCCAATGCCTGCAGGCGTCATACCTCAGAGGCGGCGCCTCATACGAGGATACTCTGACTCTGGACACGGAAGCGAAAAAAGAACTCCAATTGTGGCTCCTACACATGGAGGCGTGGAATGGCAGAGCCATCTTCGGCTCAGCCCCAGACGTAGTCATAGAGTCAGACGCCAGCTCGTATGGTTGGGGTGCGCGCTGTGGAGATATTGTCACAGGCGGACGATGGTCGGAAGCAGAATCCATGCTACATATAATCTGCCTGGAACTCCTAGCAGGGTCCTTTGCGGTTCGCAGCCTTTCCCCGACACTGTCCCAGTGTTCGATCCTACTGAAGATGGACAACGTATCGGCTGTCCGTTATATCAACCACCTCGGTGGTACGAGATCCAAAATTCTAGCGAATCTGGCTCGAGACTTTTGGCAGTTTTGCCTGCACCACAACATGGCTGTCAGGGCGGAGTATTTACCGGGTTTGTCCAACACCACGGCAGATTGGTACTCCCGTCACCTGCGGGACTCCAGCGACTGGCACCTCGATTCCCGAGTCTTCCAGTGCATTGGGGACCTGTGGGGTCCTCTGGCGGTAGACTTATTTGCCTCCCGCTTGAATACCCAACTTCCGACCTTCTTCAGTTGGAGGCCAGATCCTGCGGCTTCAGCCATGGATGCATTCTCCCAAGACTGGTCAACCACCAGGAACTATGCGTTTCCTCCATTCGCCCTTATCCCGCGTTGCCTCCTCCATCTGCGACGCCAATGGGGCTGCCTAGTTATAATAACCCCCCTCTGGCCATCGCAGCCTTGGTTTCCTCCTCTGCTGGAGATGGCCATAGATCACCCGCGGCTCCTCCCGGATGCCCAATCTCTCCTACGGGACCCCGATGGGACCCCCCACCCCCTGATCCTTCAGGGCCTCCTCCGCCTCGTGGCATGGTTGATCTCCGGGGACCCTGGTCAATCGCAGGAGTTTCGCAATCGACTCTCCGACTTCTCGAGGGCGCATGGGCACCCGGCACGAGACAGTCTTACAAGTCTGCTTGGCGCACATGGGATGGTTGGTGCGTGGCACGGGGTGTGGATCCCCTATCAACTACTGTGACGAACGTCCTACAATTCTTAACCTCCCTGTATGATACTGGGAAAGCTTACAGGACGATAAACCTCTACCGGTTAGCTATCTCAGCCGGCCATACCGGCATCGATGGAACCCCGATAGGACGACATCCACTGGTTTGTCGTCTTCTTCGAGGCATTCGCTTTGCGAGGCCACCCCTACCTCGCTATTCCTCCCTATGGGACGTCTCCCTGGTATTGCAATTCCTGACTAGGTGGCCAGACAATGAGTCTTTATCCTTAAAACAGCTCTCCGCTAAGCTGGTTATGCTGTTGTGCCTAATCTCATGCAAAAGAGTGTCGGACGTTAGAGCCCTCGATGTCAATGCCCAATCCTTCACCCCAGAAGGAGTCGTTTTTGACATAACACGTAGGACGAAATCGTCCTCCAAGTCGGTCCTGTACCCAGCTTTTCCCATGAAACCTCGCCTTTGCCCAGTGGCGTGTCTTAGGACGTACAAAGCTCGTACTGCACCCCTTCGGTCTGGGTCAGATCCCCAACTCTTCATCTCCTTCCGGAAACCACATGCTCCGGTATCCTCTCCTACCTTGGCACGCTGGGTCAAATGGCTCATGTCCTTAGCAGGTATTGATACCTCCATATTCTCTCCTCATTCGGTCCGGGGCGCCATGGCCTCTAAACCCTCCTTTGCGGGTTGTCGCTTGGAGGATATCTTGAAGGCGGCTGATTGGTCCACAGAATCTACTTTCCGTAATTTCTATTTCAAACCAATCCAGCATTTCGCAGAAGCCGTGATAGCACAGCTTTGAAATAGCATAATAGGAGCCTTTGGGTCTTTAATAAAATTCAGGGATTTTACAATTATCATGACGGAAAGTCATGATTTTATTAAAGACACGGAGGCGAGTATTATCCCACCCACCCGCCCTTGGGCGGCCCGGAGGTGGGTCGAGGTACGTTTCTCAGACCTCTCCAAGGTAAGTCCAATTGAGCGGTAGTGGTACCATCACATACCTACATCGATCTAGGACATTAGCTAATGATGGGACTTTGTCTCTGTTGTCCTCAAATCAATGATTGTCTCTTACTACTGTTTGTGTAAGGCTTACACTGTTTAATCAGCCATTTGGGCCTATGTATATGTGGACAACCCAAACTTTCAAGAAATTATCATATTTTTTCTTGTTTTCTTTAGCGTGACCTGATTGAAAGAGCTCCTGGAATCACATGCCGTGTTACGGCTCGTTTGGTTTACTTGGTTGTCCCTGTTCCGTTTTGAGTTTTCTTCGGGAGTCGCAAGAAAGAGGAAATGGTCATCATTGCTCCGCCTACTATATGGGAAGGATGTCACTGATTGGATGGTCATGTTGCTAGGCGGACATTGCGTATAGGATGTTTAAACCTGTTTTGAATGTTTTCTTTTCAATAATGTTTCTTTGCTGCTGAGGGAAATAAAGAAAGAGTGCAGCATAATACTCGCCTCCGTGTCTTTAATAAAATCATGACTTTCCGTCATGATAATTGTAAAATCCCTGAATTTCCCGCTAAACATTGCAGGAGTTTCCTGCGTGTGATTAAAGTTCAATTTACAGAGTAGAATATAAAAACTTCTAAAGTTAACATCTGATTAAAAATGAAAAAATTTTTGTCGTGCAGACTCTGTAAATCATGGCCAAAGGAGGTGTGGCTAGGGCTGAGGTGTGGCTAGGGCTGCATAAACAGAAACAGAAAAAAGTGATCTAACTCCTAAATTGCAGACAATTGAATAGTAAAATCACTCAAGGCAGTTGTATACACTAAAACTGCTTTATTAAGCTAAAGTGTAGGTGACTATAGTGTCCCTTTAACACTTTGTGGCTCTATTGCAATGGTTTGAGGGGAAAATAACCTCTCTAATTGTAGGCTTTTTTTCCCTAAAATGAATTAGACAATTTATCTCTTAAAATATTTGTGAACCACAAAAATATAGTTAAACCTAGGGAATAATTATTTAGCGGCATAATAAAAGGTTTAATATAGTGTCTTTATATTTTAAAAATAATTAATTAATTTAATAGCCTCTATAAATGTATCATCTATCATTTAAGAACAGATAATTACATAATTAGCCATGTAAAATAGTTTTAGCAAATACATCCAGCTTGTGAAAAACGTATGAGAGCAGCAGTCATTGCTAATATTGTGAATTATCACTTTTATCTTGGTTGGATTCGATTTTCTATAAAAAGAATTATATGTCCATATAAACTTGATCATCTTTGGTTTAGTAACATCAAACAATATTTGAAACACCAAAGGATGGGCAAAAAATCCTGTGAATGGGAGATTATTCTTTTGCAATATTATGGATACTGGAATGTACAGTTGCAAGAAAAAGTATGTGAACCCTTTGGAATGATATGGATTTCTGCACAAATTGGTCATAAAATGTGATCTGATCATCATCTAAGTCACAACAATAGACAATCACAGTCTGCTTAAACTAATAACACACAAAGAATGAAATGTTGCCATGTTTTTATTGAACACACCATGTACACATTCACAGTGCAGGTGGAAAAAGTATGTGAACCCTTGGATTTAATAACTGGTTGAACCTCCTTGGCAGCAATAACTTCAACCAAACGTTTCCTGTAGTTGCAGATCAGATGTGCACAACGGTCAGGAGTAATTCTTGACCATTCCTCTTTACAGAACTGTTTCAGTTCAGCAATATTCTTGGGATGTCTGGTGTGAATCGCTTTCTTGAGGTCATGCCACAGCATCTCAATCGGGTTGAGGTCAGGACTCTGACTGGGCCACTTCAGAAGGCGTATTTTCTTCTGTTTAAGCCATTCTGTTGTTGATTTACTTCTATGCTTTGGGTCATTGTCCTGTTGCAACATCCATCTTCTGTTGAGCTTCAGCTGGTAGACAGATGGCCTTAAGTTCTCCTGCAAAATGTCTTGATAAACTTGGGAATTCATTTTTCCTTCGATGATAGCAATCTGTCCAGGCCCTGACGCAGCAAAGCAGCCCCAAACCATGATGCCCCCACCACCATACTTCACAGTTGGGATGAGGTTTTGATGTTGGTGTGCTGTGCCTTTTTTTCGCCACACATAGTGTTGTGTGTTTCTTTCAAACAACTCAACTTTGGTTTCATCTGTCCACAGAGTATTTTGCCAGTACTGCTGTGGAACATCCAGGTGCTCTTGTGCAAACTGTAAACGTGCAGCAATGTTTTGTTTGGACAGCAGTGGCTTCCTCTGTGGTATCCTCCCATGAAATCCATTCTTGTTTAGCGTTTTACGTATTGTAGATTCGCTAACAGGGATGTTAGCATTTGCCAGTGACTTTTGTAAGTCTTTAGCTGACACTCTAGGATTCTTCTTCACCTCATTGAGCAGTCTGCGCTGTGCTCTTACAGTCATCTTTACAGGATGGCCACTCCTAGGGAGAGTAGCAGCAGTGCTGAACTTTCTCCATTTATAGACAATTTGTCTTACCATGGACTGATGAACAGCAAGGCTTTTGGAGATACTTTTATAACCATTTCCAGCTTTATGCAAGTCAACAATTCTTAATCGTAGGTCTTCTGAGAGCTCTTTTGTACGAGGCATCATTCACATCAGGCAATGCTTCTTGTGAAAAGCAAACCCAGAACTGGTGTGTTTTTTATAGGGCAGGGCAGCTGTAACCAACACCTCCAATCTCATCTCATTGATTGGACTACAGTTGGCTGACATCTCACTCCAATTAGCTCTTGGAGATGTCATTAGTCTAGAGGTTCATATACTTTTTCCACCTGCACTGTGAATGTTTACATGGTGTGTTCAATAAAAACATGGCAACATTTCATTCTTTGTGTGTTATTATTTTAAGCAGACTGTGATTGTCTATTGTTTTGACTTAGATGATGATCAGATCACATTTTATGACCAATTTGTGCAGAAATCCATATCATTCCAAAGGGTTCACATACTTTTTCTTGCAACTGTAATTATGTGATAATATGTTTATCAATGCACAAAGAATTATGAAGATCGCACAGCCTACAATTTTCTACATTACTACTTTCTTTGATAAAGGTCTCTTGTCATGTATTATAGCGACACTGAAGTCACTATAACCATTGTATCTCTTTAAATTGGTTATAGTGCCTGGAGTAGCCAGTCACTGCCCCTGTATTTAGTCTTGAACCATTTTAGAGCAGGTTAACACTAAACAAGGTTTCCTGGCCACCCACAGTTCAGCCCCTTCTGGAGGTGTGGCCAAGGCTGAGAATACACACTGCCTTGTAGTCATACTCTTCGTATTGTCAGTTGAAGCTCTGATATGGTGCCTACAGTGTCCCAACTCCCATTTAACTCAACACCATACACTAT